GATTGGTCATACCCTTGGCCACACTTCTCCATTTCCCCAGGCCTCGATGCCACTGAACCAGCTCCTGGGGATGGTGTCTGTCCAATCTGTCCAGAAGCACAGCAGTACTTATTACAGACAATGCCTTCTCTTAGACAGCTGCCAAGGTGATCAGAGCCATGCAGAAGGAGCCCACCTGCCATCCTTCCCTCACCTGGCAGGACTCTCCTAACTTCCTGACCTCCCCATCCCCAGTGACCACCTGCTGAACGTACTAGTGCATATTTCTCCATGCCAGTTACACCCATTAGGATGGTTACTATCAAAAATCCAGATTGGTGTCAACAAGGATGTGGATGAATTGGAATTCTTGTATACCATTTGTAGGGATTAGGTTCATTCAAAACCTAAATACAGAAGCCATTGTGCTAGTAATCCCACATACTCAGGAGACTGAGATCTGAGGATTGTGGATTAAAGCTAGCCTAGGTAAGAAAGTCTATAAGACTATTATCTCCAATTAACCACCAGAAAACCAGAAGTGGAACAGTGGCTAAAACTGGGAAAGCACTTGCCCACAAATAAAAACAATAGAGAGCCCAGGCCCTAAATTCAAGTCCCACAATCAACAACAAAGAGAAAACCCTAAATACAGTATTAAAACACAATCACCTATTTTTCTTTTAGTATCTACATTTTTAATAATGAAAAGTTTTGTTGTTGGTGGTGGTGGGTGTGGGTCTTGAACTCTAGGCCTGGGCACTGACCCTCAGCTCTTCAGCTCAAGGCTAGCACTCTACCACTTGAGCCACAGTTCTACTTCTGGTTTTCTGATGGTTTATTGGAGATAAGGGTCTCAAAGACTCTCCTGCCTGACCTGGCTTCCACCTGTAATCCTCAGATCTGAGCTTCCTGAGTAACTAGGATTACAGACATGAGCCACTGGCACCAGACTTGGTGCTACTTCTAAAAGGACAGTAATTCCACTTATCATGTCCCAGGGGCCCTACTTCTAATGTATTGCTGAGTTTCTGCACATAGACTGGAAGGAGGGGAGGACACAGAGCACTCAGGCCACAGTGTCATTGTTTCTCTTGAAGTGGAGGCTCCAGTACCCACTAGGCTGTCTGAGGATAGGTTGGGTCTTCTCAGTAATGCTAATGGATTCCTAGCAGCTCTCTAGTATCCTGTGCTGCAAAGCAGAGAGAGGTCAGAAAGAGTCAGGCTCAGATGGAATTCTCTGGTTCAGAGTTCTTGGCAGAAGCTTCATCTCCCTGCATTGTTACTGTCACTGAAATACAAGAATATAATGGGGCCAAGGGCTAGTGACTCAAGGCTATAATCCTAGCTACTCAGGAGGCTGAGATCTGAGGATTGTAGTGCCAAGCCAGCCCAGGTAGGAAAGTCCATGAGACTCTTACCTCCAATTAATTACCAGAAAACGGGGAGTGGCTCTGTGGCTCACCTTGTGCTGAAGAGCTCAGGGACAGCACCCAGGCCCAGAATTCAAGCCCCAGGACAGACCGGGGGGAAAAAAACCCCCACGACACACACACACACACACACACACACACAGAACCCCAAAAAAACCAAACAAACAAAGCAAAAACAAAAACAAAGAATGTATTGGGATCCAGAGCAGTGCCAGAGTTCTGCTTAGCACTGTCACTCTAGATGTTTCTGATTCTGAGAATGATTTTGCTAATACCATACATCTCTGGATATGAGATTTTTGTAAGTACATATATTGTAGGTACTATAATTTTCTCAGGTTTTACCTTGACCCAGGTATTAATTTAAAGAATGTTTTAATCCTTTACATAGTTGACTGTCTCTCTTATTGTTAATTTTGTAACATTTAAAGCCCAGAAATTTGATGTGGAAAAAGTTTGTCACTTGATATTTACTAAATACACACACACACACACACACACACACACACACACACACACACACACACACACACACAACCAAAGCAATTTTGACTTCATCAAAAAACCTGTCGGCTATGATGTTAGAAAAATTAATTTTGTTACATTTGTTTTCAGCAAATTCATATGGATAAGTTATATCTTCAAGGTTTGACATGATGTTGACATTGTATTGATTGATTAATTGATTTTTGTGCTGGTCCTGAAGCTTGAACTAAGGGACTGGGTGCTATACCTGAGCTCTTTTGCTCAAGACTAGCATCACTTGAGCCAATGTTCTGCTCTTTTTTGGGGGGGTGTGGGGGGTAATTGGAAACAGGAGTCTCAAGGACTTTCCTACTCTGGCTAGCTTTGAGCCCTGATTCTCAGTTTCCTAGTAGCTAGGATTACAAGCATGAGTCACCGTTACCCAGATTAAAATGTTTATTTTTAATTGATACATAACACTTGTATTAATTCATGGGACACACCATTATAATTTGATAGATATACATATTTAATAATGATAAAATTAGAGTGATTAACATTCCCATCTCCTGAAATGTTATTATTCCTTCTTGTTGAGGACCCTCCCACATATCTCATTGAGTGATCTGAAAGCATAATTGTTAAAGACAGTAGTTACCCTACTGTGCTATGAACATTAGCTACAACTACTTTTCCTCTCTCGCTGCACTTTGGTACCTATTGATACCTCTCTTACTTTTCCTCCCCTCTCTCCTTCCTGTCCCCTAGTGACTGATTTTTTACCTCTACTGCTATGTGATGAACATTTTTAACCTTCATTTGTGAGTGAAATCTTGCACTGTTTGTTTTGTTGTTGTTGTTGCTGTTGTTGTTTCTGTTTGGGGGAGATTGGTGCTTGAACTCAGGCCTTTCCTAGGCATTGTCATTTAACTTTTCTCACTCAAGGCCAATGCTCAACCCCTTGAGCCACAGCTCCACTTGTGGCTTTTTGATGGTTCATTAGAGAACTTTAAATGGCAATCCTCAGATCTCAGCCTCTGGAGTTGCTAGGACTACAGGCATGAGCCATCAGCACCTGGCAGTGTTTGTCTTTCTGTGCATTTTGATGCCAGATTGCTAACAGGCACCACTTCTGGGAGGAGGTCTCTAAAAGGGAAAAGGCCTCTGCCTGGTTATTGAGTACTGAGTTCTTGATATTGTTTTAAAAACAACTTGAGGACACAACAAGGTAAAGACCAAGAAAGTTTCCTGGTAAAGCAAAGTGAAGAAAAGATAGATAGTACACATCCAAATGTGGGTGTGTCACATTGGATAGCAGGTTCGATGAGTAGTTAACATCACATCTATTCATAATAGGGTGGGGATTTCTTAGGTTCACTGGAGGATGAATATTTCCCTTGGTTCCCACACCTGGTACATCCTCTCAGTCTTGCTGTTACTGTTTCATCAATTGGGGCTGGAGCTGTCAAAATTGGCCTGCTCATTTCACTTTGGTCATTGCTGTCTGGGAATCCCTTCAAACAAAGGATGGATTCTGCCACATCTTCCTTTCAAGAGAGGTGTCCCTCTTTAGATAGTTGTTTAAAACATATTTTATGTCCAGAAATGTCCTATTTCTGAATGTTTTTCCCCCCAGTTTGTGTCTTTCTTTCACATATCCTTCGTTTCCAGAGCACACTATTTTTGGCAAGGAGGCAAGTACAGAGGGACAGTGCTGCTCTTTTTCCATTTTTTCTCCTCTCTTTCCTAATAATTTATCTTAGGAGAGGACATAATGCTTTAAGAAAATATATAATGCCTGTGTGTTTCTAATAGAGCTACTCATAGATTCAGTGCTTGTCTCTGATTCCTGGCTGCTCTTTTCCATACTTCCTTTTACCTCATCTAACCTACCTGGGATTCACCTGAGTTTTTATGCTTTTTCTCCCATTTGTTTTCATGACCATAGCTTCTCATAATGTGGAAAGATGACATTTCATAGATGAGTGGATCAAAAAAGAGTGGTACATATACACAGTGGAATTTTATTCATCAATTAGAAAGAATAAGATTATGTCAAAGGGAAATGGATAGACCTAAAATAAGTCATGTTAAGTGAGGGAAGCCAGGCTTAGCGAGAAACACAGCTCATATTTTCTTTCACATGTGGAAGGTAGATGTAAAATGTAATGGACATGATAATCTATGCAGGACTTCAGGCATTCACACACAGTCTGAGTAAAGGAAGATACTTTCAGGAGAAGAACTTTGAGTTCTGGTGTAAGTGGGTTGTATGTGGGGCCAAAGAATAGGATGGTTGTTAGGGCATTTATGAGGATAATATTTATGTATTCGGCTATAAAGAACAGAGCGAATGGTCCTCCTGCGTATTCTACGTTAAGTCCTGAAACGAGTTCTGATTCTCCTTCAGTTAAATCGAAAGGTGCTCGGTTGGTTTCTGCTAATGTGGAGATGAATCACATTATGGCTAGTGGTCATGCTGGTAAGATTATTCATATTTGTTCTTGGGATGATGACAGAGATATTATTGAGAATGAGCCACTGATTAGTATGATTGAGAGAAGGATGATAGCTAAGCATACTTCGTAGGAGATGGTTTGTGCTATGGCTCGTAATGAGCCGAATAGTGAGTAGTTTGAGTTTGATGCTCAACCTGATCATAGAATCGAGTAAACTGATATGCTGGAGATTGCTAGGATGAATAGGAACCCATATTTATGTTAATAAGTGGTTGAGGAAGTGTGAGAGGAATTCATAGTGAGAGTGCTAAGGCGAGGGCGAGGGTAGGGGCGATTGAGAACAGAAGGATGGATGAGGTTGCAGGTCGTATTGGTTCTTTAATGAAGAGTTTTAATGCGTCAGCGAATGGTTGGAGGATTCCATATGGGCCTACGGTATTGGGTCCTTTGCGTAGTTGTATGTAACCTAAGATTTTGCGTTCTACTAATGTTAGAAAGGCTATGGCTAGGAGGATTGGGACAATAAGTGTCAGGAAATTAATAATACACATTTTGTTAAGAAGAGGAGTTGAACCTCTGGTTATAAGGTCTTAAATCTTATGCAATTACCTGGCTCTGCCATCTTAACGTCCCCTTATATTGGGGTTGAGTTTGAAGCTTTTTATGCATATACATTATAAGTTAATATTATATCATTTATTTAGTGTTAAGGCACTTTTGTCAAGTTGGCCGTATTTCTCTGGTCCTTTCGTACTGGAAGAAATAATTAAATAGATAGAAACCGACCTGGATTGCTTCGGTCTGAACTCAGATCACGTAGGACTTTAATCATTGAATAAACGAACCTTTAATAGCTGCTGCACCATTGGGATGTCCTGATCCAACATCAAGGTCGTAAACCCTGTTGTCGATATGGACTCTCTAACAAGATTGCACTGTTATTCCTAGGGTAACTTGGTTCATTGATCAGATTTGATTCTGGGTCAATATTTGGACTTTTATAATTTGGACTAGTTGGTCTCGATATTTGTCCTTCGGAGGTTTTTTAATGCTCCGAGGTCACCCCAACCAAAATTTTAATTCCAATGGCTATAGTTTTAAGTCAAGTAGAGTTGAGATTTATTTAAGTTGGAATATTAATTTAAGCTCCATAGGGTCTTCTCGTCTTAGTTTGCTATTTCCGCCTCTTCACGGGAAGGTCAATTTCATTGATTGAATGTAAGAGACAGTTAAACCCTCGTCGTGCCATTCATACAAGTTCCTAATTAAGGAACAAATTATTATGCTACCTTTGCACGGTCAGGATACCGCGGCCATTTAACTTGCGTCACTGGGCAGGCAGTGCCTCTAATACGGTGATGTTTTTGGTAAACAGGCGGGGTTTATGCTTGCCGAGTTCCTTTTACATTTGTTAATCTTTCCTTAGGTGCACTCCTGTGTTGGGTTAACAAAAGATTAGTGACACATTTTCTAGTGGTTGGAGTAGTGTGTCTGGGTTGTTAACTATCAGTGATATATTCGTTCTGATATAAACTTGTGCTAGGAGAAATTTTTTCTTATTACTTATACTAACAGTATCTCATCTAATTGAGATTAGATTGGTCCAGTTGGTTAGTAAGAGTTGAGAATTATTATTGGGATAGAGTACAGTGTAGTGTTGAGCTTTAATGCTTTCTTAGTTGATGGCTGCTTTTAGGCCTATTATGGATGTTAGGTTTATTACTCTTTACTTTAGGTTGTATCCTTTATCTAAAGAGCTGTACCTCTTTAGGTTAGCTTTAAAACTTATAGCCGCTTTAAGTGGAAGTGTGGGTAAGTTTTAAGGTGAACTAAAATTCTTTCCTGGACAACCAGCTATCATCAGGCTTGGTAGGCTTTTCACCTCTACCTTAAAATCTTCTCACTATTTTGCTACATAGATGAGTTGGCCCTGTAGTAGGCTGTTCTAGGGTAGCTCGTCTGATTTCGGGGTTTCTGGCTGAAGTTCTCTTTGTCAGAGTATTTCTAGTTAGTTCATTATGCAAAAGGTAAAAGGTTAAATCTTTGCTTTTGTTTACTTAGGTTTATCTTTCATCTTTCCCTTACGGTACTGTATCTATAGCGCTAGAATTCAATTTTCTATCACTTATACTAATTTGTTGGTGAATGGCTTAGTTTATATGTAGTAATGAATTTGGTATTTTATTAGGCTAGTTGTAGTTCAAAATATTCATTAGGGTTGAAATCTTCTGAGTGTAAGTCAGATGCTTTGCTTAAGCTATATTTTGATTCTTCCAAGTGCACTTTCCAGTACACCTACCTTGTTACGACTTATCTCCTCTCAATCTTTTGTAATTAGGTGTTATGAACTTTTAATTGTTGAGATATTGAGGAGGGTGATGGGCGGTGTGTGCGTGCTTCATTGCTCTATTCAATTAAACACTCTAGTTTTAATTTACTACTAAATCCTCCTTTGCCTTATGGTTTTCACATAGAGTTTCGTAATGTTCGAAATGTAGCCCATTTCGCTCCACTTCATAGGCTACACCTTGACCTAACTTCTTTAGTGATTACTTATTTAGCTTACTTTGGTTCCTTTTTAGGGTTAGCTGAAGATGGCGGTATATAGGCTGAATTAGCAAGAAGTGTGAGGTAGATCGGGGATCATCGGTTATGGAACAGGCTCCTCTAGATGGATATAAAGCACCGCCAAGTCCTTTGAGTTTTAAGCAGTGGCTTGTAGTCCTCTGGCAAATAGTAATGTTATGAACTATTTATGTTTATGGCTAAATATAGTGGGGTATCTAATCCCAGTTTAGGTTATAGCTTTAGTGCTGCAAGAAATTAGAGTTACTTTCGTTATTTATCTTTGCTTGACTTTGGCTTTTTACGGCGGAGTCAGGTCTTAGCTCTATTTATTTGATAGTTTTAGCACACTTTACGCCGTTGAAATATTAACTTGGGTCTTTCGTATGACTGCGGTGGCTGGCACGAAATTTACCAACCCTAATTAGGTCAGTATAACTTAGTCAAACTTTCGTTCATTGCTTAAATTTTATCACTGCTGTATCCCGTGGGGGTGTGGTTGAACTTAGTGTTTTTAGCTGTGTGTGTTTGGGCACGTGTGCTTTATACTTGCTCCTTGTAGTCTTTAGAGAACATAGGGCTAAACTCACTAGCTTATGGACATTTGCATGTGTAATTTTACTGACAGCTAATATTAAGGCTAGGACCAAACCTTTGTGTTAATGGAATCTTAGTGATTCTTCTAGGCATTTTCAGTGCCTTGCTTTGTAAAATAGGCTACATGAACTAGTAGATTTAGGAAATGTATGTTGTGATAAAGTTTTTGATTAGTTAATTTTATGGGTAAAATTATTTGTTAATGGGTTTAGTTAATAGGGATTAGGATGTTGGTTTGGAAATATAGCTCCTAATAGGGTTGTTAGAGATCTTGTTTTAGGGGTTTGGCAGGATTTTGGGTAAGTGGGGGAAAGGGGGGTTTGTTTTGAGTTTTATATTTATGTAGTATTTGGTTAAGTGAAAATTTGGTTTATTTTTTTCCATGTCCTTCAAGCATTCATTAAATATCCAAGAGCTTGTTCTTATGGAGAAGTTGAATGTTAGACAGGAAGTCCAGCTTGACTGTAATTGACTATATCAAGCCTTTGACGGCTTAGCTGAGCCTCGCATCCCGAAAATAAAAAAATACCAAAGGCATGACAGAACAGTTATGTTGATCATGGGCTGATTAGTCATGAATCCATCGAGATGTCTTATTTAAGAGGAACGTGTGGGCGGTTTTAAGTTATATGGCCCTGAGGTAAGAACCAGATGCCAGGTATAGTTTCATTCTAGCTACCCCCAAGTTTTATGGGCCCGGAGTGAGAAGAAGAGTCCTAATGGGCGGGCTGATGGTTTCACGGAGGATGGTAGATTAAGGGACCATTGTTGGGATAGTCATATGGACAAGGATTTACATAATAGAATGGTTTATGTACGTGTCATGAAAAATCTAATCTATCAAGCATTAATTTTGATTGTTGTGACAATAGTCATGTTGTTGAAGTTGTTATGTGGGTTTAATGTTATGCACGGTTATTAGTTTAATGTACTGTACAATATGAATGTGGTTATGAAATAATGCACGATGTACATGCAAGGAATAGTTTAAAGAGAATTCCAGCTTTGGGAGTTGGAGGTAGGATGTAAGTCTTTTCCTTGATGCTTTGAGAGGAGTTATTCCTCATTTCAGGTTTACAAGACCTGGGTAATTTTTTTTTTTTTTTTGTCGGTCGTGGGGCTTGAACTCTGGGCCTGGGTGCTGTCCCTCAGCTCTTCAGCTCAAGGCGAGTGCTTTACCACTTGAGCTACAGCGCCACTTCCTTACCTGGGTAATTTTTATACTATCAAAGCTTCTTCATTTTAATATTTTATTTTCAATGATTCCTGCAATTGGTATAAAGGCTAGGATGATGGTGAAGTATAGGAGAGATGCGATTTGTCCGATGATAATGAATGGGGGTTCAACTGTTGGCCTCCGATTCATGTTAGAACTAAAACATCAGAGACTAGAAGTCAGAATAAGAATTGGCTGATGGGTCGAAATATTAGGCTTCGTTGGCTGGCTGTTTGAATATGTAGGAGTAGGGCTAGGATGAGGATTGAGAGTACTAGTGCGATGACTCCTCCTAGTTTATTGGGAATTGATCATAGGATGGCATATGCAAAGAGGAAATATCATTCGGGTTTAATATGGGGTGGAGTATTTAGGGGGTTTGCGGGCGAATAATTGTCTGGGTCTCCTAATAGGTCTGGGAAGAATAGTACTAGGGTGAAAAAGAAGGCTAATAGGATTACGATTCCTAGGAAGTCCTTGGTTGTATAGTATGGGTGAAATGGGATTTTATCGCAATCTGATGGGATTCCTAGTGGATTGTTGGATCCTGTTTCATGAAGGAACAGGAGGTGAACTATAGCTATGGCAGCAATAATAAATGGTAAAATGAAGTGGAATGCAAAGAATCGGTTGAGAGTAGCTTTGTCAACGGAAAACCCCCCTCAGATTCACTCTACAAGGTCTGTTCCGATGTACAGGATAGCTGATAAGAGGTTTGTAATTACAGTTGCTCCTCAGAAAGGTATTTGACCTCATGGAAGCACGTAGCCTATGAAGGCTGTAGCTATTACTAGGAATAGAAGAATAATGCCAATGTTTCTATATAGGAGTAGGAGCCAATGTGTAAGTAGAGGCAAATGAAAAAAAGTGATGCTCCGTTGGCGTGTATATAACGGATTAACCATCCATAATTTACGTCTCGGCAAACGTGAGTAACAGATGAAAATGCTGTAAGGGTGTCGGGTGTATAATGTATGGCTAGGAAAAGGCCTGAGGCGATTTGGATGACTAGACATAGTCCTAGAAGTGATCCGAAGTTCCATCATCCGGAGATGTTAGATGGAGCAGGGAGGTTGATGAATGCGTGGTTAACTATTTTTATTAGCGGGTGTGTTTTTCGTATGATTGTCATTATGGGTTACTATAGTTGAATAAACGACGATGATTTTTCATGTCATTAGTCTTGGTTTAAGTCCATGTAGCAACTATGACATACTTAGTATATATATTATTAACAATTATAGTAATAGGGTTTGTTGGTGTTGTTGCGAAACCTTCTCCTATTTATGCTGGTTTAGGGTTGATTGTTAGTGGTGGGGTGGGGTGTGGTTGATGATGTTTTACGGTAGTTCATATGTGAGGTTGATGGTATTTTTAATCTATTTTTAATCTATTTAGGGGGTATGTTGGTAGTATTTGGTTATACTACTGCAATGGCTACTCAGGAGTATCCTGAGGCTTGAAGTTCAAATATTTGATTGTGGATGTTGCTTTTGTTGGGAGTAATCATGGAGGCTATATTGGTAGTTTATGTGTTTGGGAATGATGAGGTGGATATGTTGGATAATGTTTATGATGTGGATGAGTGGTTATGTTCGATAGTGATGAAATGGTTCTAGTTCGGGAAGATTCAGTGGGTGTTGGGGCTATGTACAGTTATGGGAGTTGATTGATAGTGGTAGCAGGGTGGTCTTTATTTGTTGGTGTATTTATTATTGTTGAGGTAACACGTGGGATTTAGATAATTGTAAGTGTAAGGATTATGATGGATAGGAGAAATGATAGGAAGTAAATTGTAATTAATCCTTTGTGATTTGATGAGGAGATTGATGCTGATTGTTGAAGTGAGCTGATAAGTTTAGGTATAGATTTTTCAGTTCAGATATAGTCTAATGTTGATGTAGCTATTTTTTGGTTGAAAGATAAATTGGAATATGGGATTAGGCGGTGAATAATTAGTGGAAAATATCCTAATAAGTTTGAGAAGTTGTAATGGTATGTGTTTGGGTAAAGTTTTAGAAGAGTGTTATGGAGTTGAGTTCTATTGCGATGACAAATCCTATTAGTGTAATAATTAAGGCTGTGAGTTTGATTATGGTCGGTATAGTTATAGTATTAATTGGGTCGATGTAGTTCGAGATGATGTACCCTGCAAAGATGCTGCCGAGCAGTAGGCGTATAATAGGGTTTATTAAGTTTGGATGATTTTCGTTGATAGCATTTATAGGTTGGAATCGTGGGTTATTAGGACAAAAAAAATAATTCGTGTGCTATAGGCTGCAGTAAGTGAGGTGGCAATAAGGGTAATGATTAGGGCTCAGCGTTTGTATACGACGTGTTTATTGCTTCGATGATGAGGTCTTTGGAGTAGAATCCTGTAAGGAAAGGTATGCCTGTGAGTGCTAGACAGCCAATAATTAGTGCTGAAGTGGTAAATGGTAGGGTTTTGGCTAGGCCTCCTATTTTTTGGATGTCTTGTTCGTCGTTTAGGCTGTGGATGATTGATCCAGAACATATGAATAACATTGCTTTAAAGAAAGCATGTGTACAAATGTGGAGAAAAGATAGAACTTAAAGTACTATTGATCAAAATGAAACCCAGGAAATGAAAATATGGGGTTTGGAAAGTGGTGCTGTGGCTCAAGGGTAGAGCCATAGCCTTGGCCATAAAAGAACTCAGAGACAGAACCCGGCTGAGTGCTAGCCCTAGTACTAGCCAAAACAACAACAACAACAACACACACACACACACAAAACATGGCACTTCTGATGGTTGTTGTTATTTGTTTTGTGTTTTTTCTTTTTTTGGGGGGGGGGGGGTGTCCAGTCGTGGGGCCTGTACTCTGGGCCTAGGCGCTGTCCCTCAACTCTTCAGCTCAGGGCTAGCACTCTACCACTTGAGCCACAGCGCCACTTCCGGCTTTTTTTTTCTGCTTATGTAGTGCTGAGGAATCGAACCCAGGGTCTCATGCATGCAAGGCAAGCGCTCTACCACTGAGCTACTTTCCCAGCCCATGAGTGTTTTTTCTTTTTAATGAGGACAAAGATATGCACAGAAAAGGAAGGAGGGAGGATGAAAAAATGCAATCATGTTATTCAATATACACGATGTGGGAATAAGAGTCTAATAATCTTTCATTTAATATTTCAGTGGTGCATGGGCGGGGAACTAGTTCTCTCTGTGAAATTGCTCTTCCCCTCTGTTGGGAATTGTAGCTGTCCTCGGGAGGCCTAGTTCTCCACTGTCTCTGTGGTAGTCCTCGCATTCCTAAATCATGACCCCAGAGGCCTAGACTTTTGACAGAGGGATCCAGCCACCACAAGCCTCCTCCTGCCTCTGAGCGCTCTCCCACATCCA